AAAAACCTGTTTGAAAATGAGCCGATCAGATTTTGCAACTTTATGATTCATAACGCATTTTGGCGTGTACACATTCAGCCAATAAGCAACCAAGTAACCCACCCCCACAGCTTATCACCGAATCTCCTAGTAGGGATGGTATCGTTAAGGTTTTAACGGTACTGCTATATTATCGAATACCGTTATCGATCCGGTCTTTTAACGGTACTTCTTATCGGTTCTTTTGGAGAAAAAATAAGTTAAACTAACTAAACAAACTAATATTGGCTTTATTTAAGTTAACGACATCATATTTCACATCAAAGGAACACATGTTTAACAAATCGATAAATAATCTGAGACAGACTGAACTGTAACAGAATGAGCTTGAACTTTAACCAAATTAAATAACTCATTACTCTAATCATTATATAATAGTATATTGAAGTATATAACTCCGTGTGTTGCTGCTAGCATACATAACACCTGACACGTTACTCGTGGACGGGGCTACACAGCTACAAGAAAGACAGTCGAACCTGGTGCATTCCTCCGACTGGATGTGGTGCACTTTTGCTAAATTGCTCGTGTTACCGCCCTTACATGCTAAACTCTTATCGCACTTTTGGTAACGAGCATTGTCCACATCGAGACGGGTAAAGTTTAACCACACCTCGGAGCGCGTTCTCTCTGCCATCTCCTCCGTGTGTGTGTCGCTTCATGTAGCAGCTGCGTGTGTGTAAACTGCCCCGCCCCCTCGCACACAGACAGGGGAGAGAGATCTCTCACGGTCTTTAATAATTCAGCCCCGGGGCCCGTTTAATACCGGGGCTCGGTACCCATCCCTACCTCCTAGAGCACCATTGTGTTCTTTCTAACCAAATATCTCTCAGAGGGGCGTGGGGAGGGGCTCCTTATTTTCATCTAAAGTAACAGACAGAGAATCAGCACTTTTGAAACAGGGCTGAAACAGAGGGGATTATGGGTAATGCTGCAATGATCTGTTTGGTGTTTGGAGCCAAACACTTCAGAGACATGTTTAGTATATATCTGAGACCTATAATATATTGATGAAAAACAGTGTAATAGGGGACCTTTAAATTGTAATTTGCCAAGTGTTACGAGGGTGTTTAATCAGTGTTGATGGTCAATGTATTTGATTGAACCGATACGTGCATAAGTGCAAACTATATTGAAAGAGAAAGATGAGTTTGCAGCTGTAAATCTGATTAGACTAGCAAAGGAAAAGGGGGGAAGGATGAAATATGGAGGACTTACCGCAGCAGGTTGTTTCTGGACTTGTAGGATGGCGGCAGGTTGTGGTTGGTCTCAATGTTTCCTGGATGAACAGACAAAGTAACAACCTGAAGAATGACAACTAAAGAAGAGACATAACACAACTTGATACTGCAGAATGTCTAGAATCGTGTTTGGAGTTACACTCGTTCAACATGTTTCATGGACCTGCAAAACACGTACCTTTCAGAGCCACTCCATTGCGTCTGATAGCCATGATGGCATTATTGATGTCATCTTCTGAGTCCTTCGTTGAGTCCACATTGACAACCTCAAAGTCCACGGGCACACAGCAGAACCTGAACATAAAGTCAAAATAAATGTAGAATCAAAAATGGAAGAATAACGATGATTTTTCCATTAATCTTGTTACACGATATCATGTTTTCTATTGAAAGGTAATGCTTGATTTGTTTGTCTCCCTTTGTGTTTTTTGCCTGGTTTTATGTGTTTGTATTAACTCTGTGTCAAGCTCAAGTCTCCCCTGAAAAAGAGATTCCTAATCTCTCTCACCGGAACAGTTCACACACGTGTTTGCAGAGCTCTGGTCCGATGCCGTCTCCTGGAATCAGAGTCACGGTGTGCCGGCCTCCATACCGCGCCGGTGGAGGCTGTTACACACAAACAGGAAGTCAAACTCCCCCCAATACAACCCAGTAGATACAACTCCTATACAACTACTGATTAGACTCTACACTATTTTAAAAGACGGTAATCTTTTTGCTATTTTAAAAAGTTCTATTAAAACAACATGTGTGTCTGTGTGAAGTAAGCCACCATACTCACTATGGCCTGGTGAGGGTGGATGGAGGGCGAAGCAGAGAAAACAGGAAGGTTAGTGGGACAAAGTGGAGGGGGGGAGGGGCTGAAGCATGCTGATCAGCAGCTTCCTGGTGACATCACAAGCACATTGATGAGACAAAACAGTGTTAGTACTCCTGAGCACATGCATTTTCCCTCTTACATTTGGTGCTTTTATCAATGTAGATTGTTTGGGAGTGAGTTGTCGAGAGTTGGAGATGCAGGCGGAGAGATGTCTGCTTTCTTTAGAATATTATGGAACTAGATGGCATCTTCTACTAACTTAACCCTTGTATGGTGTTCGGGTCTGTGGGACCCGTTTTCATTATTCAGCTAAAGAAAAATGATATGATCAATTATTTTTTCAAACTCACACTCAATGGCCATTTTCTGTGAAGAACATATATCAGAACACATTTTCAATGACCACCCTCTGTACCCCCCCCCTACCCATTTACATTACATACAGAATGTTCGGGGAAATTGTAGATCCTGTGCACCTGTGTGTTTGTGTGTGTGTGTGTGTGTGTGTGTGCGTGCGTGCGTGCGTGCGTGCGTGCGTGCGTGTGCGTGCCTTTTGTTTTTCTGCCCCTACCATTCCCGCACAAGGTTGATAAAGTAAAGCACCGACACCTGTCTGCTCTCACATTCCTGCATTATGTTTTTCGGGAACCAATCTTTATTTTGTTCACGCTCTATCAGCTGCAAATTTGGGGCAAGACACAATAAATAAAGCTTTGCCAGTTTGGGTCCTTATCACAACTGATCGAGATGGCCAAAAGATTCTCTGCTCAGAGGGCCTTGCAAATGATTTTGGAAGACAGAGAACCATTTGGTGATGATGAAGAGGAAGAGGAAGAGGCTTCAAAATGTGAGGATCATATTTCTGAGAAGTCTGAGTCAGACAGTGACTTTGAAGAAGAAGATGAGATTGAGCATCAGCTAGTTACAAAAACAAGACGAGCCAAAGGACCAGCCGGTCAGCGGGCGAAAAAACAAGGAGCACTTTCATTCATTAATGTGTTCTAACAAAAGGGCAAATATGAACCATATATGTGGTTTATATTGCTTGTAATTGAGATGAAGTAAACATCTGTTGAGTATTTTAACATAAAATAGTTTGATTGTGTTGAATTGAAGCCCAAAAAGGCAACGGGTCCACCAGACCCACGAACACTGGCTGAGTAACAAAAATACGAACACCATACAAGGGTTAACAGCAGTGTGTCTTTCAAAAATCATGATCTGGTTATTCAATATAATCCACAGAAGTTGTTGTGAGGAGTTTCATAACTAAACTACACCCATCAACCGCGTCACATCTGGTCCATGAGTAGCCGTGTGTGTTCGGCAACTCACATGAAAACAATCAAGATTAATAAATAGCATTACAGTTAAGAGGGAAATGTATTTTGATTGTGGGGTTATCCGGTTGGGAAGGTCACAAGGTAAACAAAGTATGCGTGACAGATTTGATTATGTTTTCTTGTATCCTGAACAACTCACAGTGTAAGAGGACTTGTGTCTCTGAGTACATGTTGCCGCACCATAAACCTGTGAATACAGATAGAAGTTAGTTAGAGGCAGAAAATATGTATTAGTTAAAACGTATAAAAAGTCTAATCTATAACAATGTCCTCAATTTGTGTGTGTGTGTTTATTTCCTCATATAATGGCAGGAGAAAACATTTGAAGCTGAAGTATTTTTGATATTTCCATGTTTCTCATATATTTTATTTCAATAATTTTTTTTGTGTTATTTTATACTATTTTGCACGTCTACTCCACTACATTTGGTTGCATTGCATATACCGATTATTAAAGGTCCCATGTCATGCTTTTCCGGTTATCACCCGTCCCCTTGTGTTTTATGAAGGTTATGCAGGAGCTCCAACAAGCCGTTTAGGACAGAGAGTGAATACACATACTATACAGAGATGCTGTATGAGAAACCAATGTGAGTTTGGAAAATTGCACAATATACATGTATTTTAGTATAATACAATGGAATTATGATCAGTAGAAATGGCCATGACATTGGACCTTTAATAGAAAATAGAAAATAAACCCAAAAAACTGATATTTATAATAATGAATTGAGTTAGCTGCAAGCTTAGCCTACAGCATAAGAAACTACACATTAATGCATCAATAATCCAGTGATNACACACATTATTCCTATACAGCCCATCATACAAATGTCACCTGTTTTTCTTTATGAAAGCCATACTTGTAAATATCCAAACGCCATCGTCCCATGACGGCCACAGCCGTCATGGGACGATGGCGTTTGGATATTTACAAGTATGGCTTTCATAAAGAAAAACAGGTGACATTTGTATGATGGGCTGTATAGGAATAATGTGTGTGCATTCTGTCAAAGAGTCCTCTGTCATGACTCCAAATCATTGATTGGGGGATCTGCCTAAGGGCAGAGGGACAAACACACACACACACGTCACACATACACTGTAAGAAGCAACAGATGGGACAAACTGCTGACTCACTGCCTGGGGTCCCACCCACAAGTGAAACCGACCAATGGAACACTGCCAACTCACTGGCTAGCTCGCTCAGAAGTGAACTCGCAAATAACAAATAGCTAGGGAAGAGCAAGCGACAAAACTCCTCCCCACCTGTGTATAAATGTTGTGATCATTTTGAAGATCGGCGCTCTTGTTTTTGACTTGCCGTTCCTGAGACGTGTCTCACACGGTGGTAGAACCTGAGCCCGGAGTACTCTGCAGAGTGCTTCGTGATTAGGTGAATAGGTGATTGGGTGATGTATTGTATGTTTTTACCATTAAAGCAGATTATTGTTTAACCCTTATCCTGGTGCTTTGACTTTTCCTTCTTTTAAAACAAACTCAGAGGAACGGCGCGAAGCAGAGATTCTGCCTCAACATCCTCCTTCAGGGACTTATTCCGGTGTGAACGCGTAAGTACAGCAAAGTACTTGGTGTGAAAGCGCCTAATGTCCCCTGTGCGGCACTAATAAAAGGTATTCTGATTCTGAATCATCCAGTCTGGGACCATGTGCGTTGTGTCCCTCTCTTTAAAGTCTGTCTATTCAATAAAGAGACTGCAGGTGTACGATAGATATTTCCATCTTTTTTAAAACTGCATCTCTATCTCCTAATAGTGATGTTTTGGGCGGTTGTAACACGTGTGTCGGCCTCTGTACAGGTGACTTGAAAATGAAGACAACACGGAATGACAGAGCGTAAAGGATTTACTCATTATTATTTTTTATTTAACCAGATAAAAGCATTGAGATAGAATCTCATTTGCAATGCTGACCTGGCCAAGAAGGCAGCAACGTTACACATAACACAAACATATAAAATACAGAGAACATAACTAAGAAAACAAAGGACGAAAAGCAGTCACTACATTGAGCACATTAGGACAGTAAGAAAGGTGGACTACTTATTACTGCAAGAGCAGCTGGTGGTAGGGACCTCAGACAACTTCAATTTAAAACATGCTATTGAAAGACTATTGATTATTTAACATTAAAATAAATCAAAAGGATTAGTTCAATCGCTTTCTTGCCTAGAGTTTGATGAGAAAACTGGCACCGCTCTGATTGGCTGCAGAGTAAGTATGTAGCAAGTTAGCTTAGCTTAGTTTCCACTGGTTGTCTGGCAATTGGTCCCAAACTAGAAATAGTCGGGCAAATGAACCCTAGTATGGAACATGTAAATGTTTAAAGGTATAGTTTAGTACCAACTTACAAAGAAATTCAACATATTTTCAATATTTATTTAGGGAGCTTCAGATGTGCTTGTAGCATAGTGGAACATTCGAGTATTTCCCCAAACTATTCCTTTAGAAATCCAATTAAATATTGCACAAAGAAAACTGCAGGACACATTATCAATATAGAAATACAACTTTTCTTTTGATCAATTGTATTAACCCAAAGGTTTACATTCTTAATAACAATAGTTTTAGTTGTAGAGATGGGCCTAAATGAGGCAAATCCGGAATGTTATTTGAATTCTTATTTCCTATTATCTTATTGATTCTTTCACTATTTCCCTGACTTGCTTAGTCGTGTCTTTTCATTGTATTACCAACAAGCAAAAAGATAAGAAGATAGTCTGAGCGTAATCCTTGACAAAGAACGATGGACACAATCTTGTGTTACCTAAGCTTGGAGGAACGAATGCTTCAAAATGCTGAGCAGAAATACAGAAACACTTAAACTGTAGTGCGAACGGAGAAGAGAAAGAGTAATGGACGGCGCAGAAAACCGAGAGACAAGTTAAGAGAGAGTTATTCATAATTCAAGTTTCCACACATGGAGGCGACGGTGCTGAGAGTAAAAGAGGAGTCCATTAAAAGATAAGAACGGCTCTATAATTTACAGGGAAATGAGCTGTCTAGAGTTGGCACTGCAAACATTTTAAAAACAATAAAGCATGGCAGTCGTTGGGAGATATTGACATGTTAAGAATTCAAGCAGCGCTGATGGTGTCAAAGGGAAACAGGGATAGTTGATAATGATGATATATCACTTTCAGAGCAGAAATACACACTAAAAGTCGACCTGCTGTGTGAACCCTGAAATGTTGAGTACCCCAAAAATGTACAGTAGGCTACGGGTCCCCAGCACATAGAAACTGCCGGATGCTAACTTTTTAACTTTTGTCTGCAAATGCTAATCAACACAACTTATGCAATTTGCACAATTTGCATAAGTTGTGTTAATTAGCATATGCCGAAAATTAGGGATGCTCATGGTAAGATGGAAGATCCCCATAGGCCCCGCCCACTCGATCGGATCGGCGATAGGTATCGGCCGATAGGTATCGGCCGATACTGATTCCGGCGATCGGCCTCAAAATTGGCGATCGGAGCATCCCTACAGAAAATTGTTAAAAAAGGTCTTGGCCGAGTTGGACAATTTTGGAAGTGGTTTTGTGGGTCGTTGAGGATGTTGAATCAATTTCTGACACTTATAGGATCCACAATGGCAGTTTTGAGTCCCTTGACCCAAAACTTCAGTCCACCAGGGGTACACGTGTGGCCACTTTCTGGTTAAAACTGCAATTTTTTAGCCTGAACATTTTAGAAGTTGCATTAATTAGCATATGCAGACAATATTTCCAATATGGCTTGGCCGATTTGGACAATTTAAGAGTGGTTTTTGAGGATGTTGGATGCGTTTCTGACATTTTAAGGATACAAAATGTCCCCAAAAACTTTAAAATGGACCCAAAATATATCAAAATCAGCCCACAGAGTGCAAATATGGCCACTTCCTGGTTACAATTGCAATTTTTTGATCATGAAAATGTCAGAAATGGATTCAACATCCTCAATAACCTCCAAAACCATTTTTTAACTATTGTCTACAAATTAATACAATTTGAGCAGATTGTGCAAATTGCCAAACATATGCAAGTTAGCATCTGGTAGTTTCTATGTACTCTACATTTATATCATTACACTTTGGGGTATTCAACATCTCCTGGTTCACAACAGGACTCTGAGGAGCTTGTGATGCAATTCTTTACAAAAAACAAGTCTTCTAGTTTTCCTTTCCAATGATGTTCAGTCATGACACGATGAAAGGTTTCAGAACACCCTCGCAAACCTGACTTTCCACCAGCTGTAGGGCTTTGTCTTTTATTCATGATGACAGGGCGGACATCCTCTCAGTTGCTTTTGTAGCATCACTTGCCTCAAACTGTCAACAACAATCCCTCATTTACAGTACGCAGCTTCCACCCAGGAGGGTCTAGTTTCTCCTCAGGAAAACAAAGGAGGAAATCGAGCAAAAACTTGTCCGCAAAGTTTCTCAATTTCCACCTTTCGGCACGACAAATGAAAAATGAAATCTAACAGAAAGACGATTTATCATGCGGTGTCGTTCTGCGTCTCTGTTTCCTAATCACATCTGAGTGGAGAGGAGACGGCGCGTCTACAAGATAAAGCTGCTTGATCTCTAAAGATGGCCGTGTTTGCTCGCATTGCCTTTGTGTCAATTTCTCAAATTACAAAGCTCGGAGGTGGAAGAAATGTGCCGCTGAAAATCACTTTCTGACTGGAGTTGTTGTGGATTCTGGGGGAACAATGGGTTGAAAGCAATCCATCTGTATCTCTAATATAAGAGCTAGAATCATTTATGTATCTACAGAAATGTGTTTGTGGAAAAACACATCTTAACCTTATCCTAAAACTTGCTTTTTTTCCTGTGAAGTTACTTCAACGATCAACTGTGCAAACTTTGTGTATCATTTTAAACTTTTAAGGAGGTTTCACACACCACAACACTGCTCAACGGTAGGGAGGGGTACCGAGCCCCGGTATTAAACGGGCCCCGGGGCTGAATTATTAAAGACCGTATACTGTTAAACTCCGACATTATCGGTACTGGAGACATTTAAAAGAGATATGTCATAGCCTATGTATTATTGCTACACAAACATTATATTGCCATTTTAGTTTCGCCAACTCCGTTTCTAATACGCAAAAATACTGAAAAATGCGTCAATGATTATTTTTAGTATTTCTGACCTTTTCAATCCAGACGAGAGATCTCTCTCTCCCGTCTGTGTGCGAGGGGGCGGGGCAGTTTACACACACGCAGCTGCTACATG